TTTATAGCTTCATGGAGATTAAGCATGATGTATGCTTGCTGAGATGCAGCTCTATCGATCTACGTCTGATCTATATGCGGTTTGCATGGATGGAGATCTACTGGGGTTTAGGTGTGCCTAGAGCACTGGGTAATAAGTCTCCATACAATAAAGCTACATGTCTCACCTCCCTGTTTCACCATAAAAACTCATGAAATATATTCTTCTTCGGCCTCCACGGTGGGCGTAGGTAGGTCGACCATTTGTCCTGCCTCTTTCGTTAAATCAATTGATGACTATTCAATTCCACACTTATTTGAGGGGTAATACTGGCCGCTAGCGCCCCCAGTACTTGTTCTTTGCCTTTCTTGCACTTCCAATACTCGTGGACGCTCTCTGGGACAAGATGGCGGCCAAGCTATAGACAAGGCTGGCACAAAGTTTCTCGTCCTTTTTACTTCAAATAAGGCCGCATATGAGGTCATGTAAATGAGCTTTAACTTTTTGGAGCCCATGAAATGACGGCGATTTATCATCTGTGGGGACTCGAATTTGGTGGAACGTCAAATGCGGGGGAGATCGAGTATAAAGCTTCAGGGTTGTGCCCGGTACGAGCAAAATCATTATCTAAGCTAATGCCGTGGCACACCAGAGAAGTTGTACACGTATATCGTGATTGAAATTTGAAGGCCAACCAATTAACCAGCACCCCCCCCTTTACATCATCAGAAAAGGATTTATGAATGCTGGAAAAAATGTGGCCAGGTTTTGAAGCGATTAATCGATTGTCAGAGATGACAGTTTCCAAAGACCGGAGTCTATCGGCCAAAATATTTGCAGTCACCCGATCACGGCTTTCCATGAGAACATCAGAGAAGGTCATGCAAGAGTTGGTAGTACAATGATTCCAGGCATAGTGACTCGGAAGCAAGTAAAGGCCTGGCAGTAAACACTTCTAAGATATCAAGGAAAAGGCCAGGGTTGAGAATCTACCTTGAAGAATTTGGTTATAAGTCCACCCTCGACCTAGTCGACCAAGTGGCCACCTACCCGCCTACCTAGTGAAGTATGTCCACTCGCGGCACCCCAAGGTCGACCTCTCTCAAGGCCGACATCGCATCTCCACCAAGTCCTCCGAAGTGTGCAACCCGTCAGACGACGGGTATACAAGGTGAAAGAAGGTTCATACGCGGCATCGGGGTACCCCATCCGACAGTCGGCAGTCCGGCACAGCGAGTGGCTTGAGGTCTCATTACGCAGTTTTGAGAACCCACTCCACCACGATGCCCTACCATCGAATCAAGCTTGACGCATTCTTGGAGAGTGACCCCGTCACCAAAGCCCTCGAGATCCGAATACTAGGTCAGCTCAGTGGACCTGAGTCGACCCTTCCCAAGCTGAGGACGGTGACAGACGCGATCACCGCGTGCCTCTTCTACGCGAGGCAGTTATGGTCGCAGGAAGGTTCGAGGCTGAAGACTTGTTTTCTCTGTGGTTCAACAGTATCAAGACAACGTTAGAGATTTATACAAACGTTTGGGTATCCTGGTGAGAACAACCTTAGTACTACTCGACTCACCTCCTGCGGCCGCCGCGAAAGACCGTCTGGCGACAGCCAGATGACCTGCAAGACATCGAGTTCCACCCTCGATATGCAATGGTCGACCGTGGCCCCATGGTCGATGCGAGGTCTATCACAGACCATCTTGCCTCAGGGTCCTCAGGTCCCTGCAAGTCAACTGTCGCGAGGGTCGTCCATCGTTAGTCACGTGATCCGTATGCCACTAGCACCAACTGGCATTCCACTGCTTCAGGCCCGAGCGAAGAACGTGGACTACGAGCAGAGACCTCACGAAACGGCAGCGCGTGTACAGCCAAGGGAAAGTCGGGCTTTTAATTTTCAACCAATCAGAAAGTAGCCAGGACTAGTAACGAATTATATCTCGTCACGTAACGGTGCTGTCCGGGGAGGAGCGCCTACCAACCCGGTGGGTAATTTACAGGCATACTTCGACGCGGCGATGGCAAATTCTTACAAGAACGCCAAGTATCGCAAACACACATCGATGTAAGTGCGGCCAGAGGACGAAAGAGGGCGCAGAGGTCAACGGCCCAGCTGGGCCCAAGTGCAGGTATGCAAGTTGCAAGAGACCAAGCGATAATGATGTGGAGAACGACAAGCTTTCTGAAGAATTCGTAATAAGGCTACCCTTGGCCGAGTCGACCGAGTCATCACCTACTTGCCCACCGAGTGACGTATATCCAGTCGAGGCACGCCAGGTTGACCACTTTTAAAGCCGTTATCTGCATCCTCATTAAAAGTCTTTTGAAGAGTGAAGCCTGCACGCCGACGGGTACGCAAGGTGAGAGAAGGTCTATACGCAGCATCGAAGTACCCCTCCGACCGTCGATAGTCGGGCACAGTGAGTGTTCGGGGCCACGTCACCCCGTTTTGATAGCCCACTCCACAACATTACATAATTTTATCAATAATTTAGAATGAAGCCTGCTTGTGTGCCAATGAGCGATGACCGCAAGCATTAATAAGTTTTCGGCTTGCGTTTGCATCTGTTGATTTTACAGCCTCTTGAGGCATTTATCTCTTTTGTACTTGACCGTCTGATTTTTGTAAAGAATAGTAGCTCCCCGAGATAAGAGACTTTCTAAGTATAAGTCTTCCTCTGGCGCTTGCCATTTGCAGCCCTGCTGCAATATATATGTTTATCCATAATCCTTAACCAATTTATATGGCCGCCACAATGTGGATTTATTGTGCTTATAACTCCATTGAGCTCAAGTTTGTATGGAAGCGATTACATCTGCTTGATATCACGGTTCCTCCAGAACTTTATCATCTCACTTCACTTGTATTCTCCTTTATTACACTGCAAAGACTTTTGATTCGGTTGCCTTGTTAAGTCTCAGCAGAGGCAACAAAGTTTGCAAATGTGGCCGCCCGTCGGACTTTTTCCGTAGAAAATACACCACGCAAAAATGCAAGCTTTCGTCAGTGACTGTAACAAAGTACCGACAGCCGCCAAAATTATGTGTCTGCATTGGGCCGCAAACATCAGAGTGTATGATTTTGAACAGATTTGTTGCTTGACGTGGTGGATCTGGGCATAAAACTTTCCCGCGTTTGCGTGCTTGGAGCGCACCCCTGACACATCTCTCACTATTTACTGACGTGATATCAATGTCAACGCCATAATCATTTTTTTACGATATTTCCTAAATTGCCACGGCCAATTTGACCAAGCTGAAGGTGCCAGAGGTACGACCGGACACCCCGCTGGTGACCCGTCGAGCTTTACACATTTTCCTAGTCAGGCAGAATAGGCGTCATGCACAACTGGAACAGACCCTTGCCTGCGCGTGCATCTAGCAGCCATGTCATGTGTATCGCCTCCGCAAATTACGCGTCGGTCTTGAAGTGACAGAGCCAACATCTTTCGTAAAACGACCTGCAGAGAACAGGTTTCGTGGCAGCTCAGGAACAAGCCACACACCGGTAATGACGCCCTTCTTGACTCCAGCCGTAGTCTGCATTGTCATGACAATGGCGTCCGTTCCCACGGCTTGATCAACACCGTCATCCGCGAGCTGCACGTCTACCGGCGAGATCTTTTTGAAAATTTTCGTGTACTTCCTCGAGTACGCCATGTGCTGCGTCGCATCTAAGTCGATAAACCAGATGGTACTCGCTGGCGAAGATTCACAACCAACTGAAAACAAGAAATCGCCAGGTTTATCTTCAGTCTGCGCGATACTTGTTCCACGCGACCTCTGCCTCTCCCCATTTTCACGGGATCCCTAAAAGACACTTGTTAATCCAATGTCCTTATTCGTCACAGCAAGGATACGAACTGAACTGTTGCATCTGCCGCCCTCCTCTGTGCTTGCGGTAATTGTGAGGCATAAATGCTTGACCTTGGCTGTACGTGACTCCATCGACACCGCTAACTCGTTTCTTGCGCTTTAAGTCTTCGTGCAGCAGCCGAGACGTCACAAATTTCACGTCAGCGTGTCGGCACGTGACTCCAGCGCCGTAATAATAAACTGGTACGAATCGCTTAGACTGCCAAGAAGCGTGATTACCAAAATATCTTCGCTGACTGTAGGGCTGACTGCGTCAAGCTGTTCCTCCAGTGTCCTAATCTTGTTGGTGTAAGCAAGCACATTATCACCCTCTTCCATAATATCTGTACAGAGACGACGACGAAAGAAGAGCTTCTTGCCAGGCTCTTCCTCTAAAAATAGTCTTTTAACTTAGCCCATGCATCAAATGCACCACCCGCCGAGCGAACCATTTTGAAAATGCGAATCTTTCATAGCCAGGCAGTTGACAGCCATCTCTTTGCGCGATTTTCGCTTCACTGTTGCTTGGTCCAACGTAGTTATGCATTATTTAATCTTGACATTCCAGCAGACGACCTCCCACAGGTCCCGCTTCTCACACATCATCCGCATCTTAAATTTTCACGCATAAAAATTGTTCCATCCAACTTGTTTACACGAGTTGATGAGTAGTCCATGGCGGTGTATGCGAGTCAATGGCAGCGGAGGCAGAATCTAGTGAGCTTGGGCTCATAACCTGATAAAAAAAACACTTGGTAGTTTGATGTAAATGACAAAGATAATATATCAAGGTCCTTAGTTGACTAAGTCTTTTGCAATTCTAAGCATCTTTCAATCATCAAGCAATCGATGATTTGATCATTCACTTAAGCATCAATAGTCAACATGTCAATCACCAGTCAATAAACCAATCATGTCGAACAACGCGTCTTGACAACAGATCTTTCATCAACCAAATGCCTATCTTAGTACCTTCCTGTAGTATTTAGGAGTGGGGTCTGAGGTTGGTCATCTTCAGGATAATCAACTATCTACCCCTTTGACCATGTTCGTGCCCCACCGTTCGCCTCTCGCGACCCAAAATTTCCATTAATCCGAGGTCGACCATTTTAAAGGTACTTCCACATACCCACAAAGTCCAGAGCCCTAACGGAACCATAAAGTTACCATCCCTCCAAATCATCTACGCTTTTCAAACTCAAACTATCCTCTCCTCTCAAATTGCTCCCAACCCCTGTTTGACCCCCAAAACGACTCCTACCTTTGACCCGTCGCTGTTCATCCAGGTGCTAACCATTACACCATAAGACCAGCATTACGTCATCCCATCCCAAAATCAATCTTAAACGCTTTTCAAAACATCAAACGCTATCGGCAGGTCTCACATCGTCAAATTGCTACACCAAAACCCCATGCTTTGAGCCCGCACAAAAACGAGCTCCTACCGGATTTGAACCCGACGCTGGATTCAGAGTCCAGAGTGCTAACCATTACACCATAAGACCAGCATTACGTCATCCCATCCCAAAATCAATCTTAAACGCTTTTCAAAACATCAAACGCTATCGGCAGGTCTCACATCGTCAAATTGCTACACCAAAACCCCATGCTTTGAGCCGCGCACAAAAACGAGCTCCTACCGGGATTTGAACCCGGATCGCTGGATTCAAAGTCCAGAGTGCTAACCATTACACCATAAGAGCAACCAGACCAACAATCCATCGACCGTCCACAAAATCGTCAACACTCATCCAGTCGTTCAGTTCACGCTATCATATCCTCGAAATGACGGCACAGCATACCCTTCTTCTGTGTGGAGGCTCTATGGACTGACTGACATTATCGTTGGACATATGACTCTAGTTTTTCTTACCACTCTGCCTTGATCGCTCACCACAACACCGTATCTACTATATCACGACAGAAATGATAGTATGAGTACATTCAGGAACGAAGACACAATTCTGTGACACGGGTGGCATGTAGAAGATGCCACATGGGGCGGATTATCGGCTTATCATGTTTGGAGCGTTGATGTTATGGCTTGACTTGAACGCAGCTACGGTTTTAGCTGATTGTGATATGGTAGCAGGTTTGTAGCAGCAGTAAGCTAAACAACTGCGGTGTGGTGTAGCCTGATCTTGCAGCAACAACAGCGTTGTGGTGGTGCCAGCAGGAGCCGTGCATAATGAGGTCCTACCGGGAATTGAACCCGGATCGCTGGATTCAGAGTCCAGAGTGCTAACCATTACACCATAAGACCAGCATTACGTCATCCCATCCCAAAATCAATCTTAAACGCTTTTCAAAACATCAAACGCTATCGGCAGGTCTCACATCGTCAAATTGCTACACCAAAACCCCATGCTTTGAGCCGCGCACAAAAACGAGCTCCTACCGGGATTTGAACCCGGATCGCTGGATTCAAAGTCCAGAGTGCTAACCATTACACCATAAGAGCAACCAGACCAACAATCCATCGACCGTCCACAAAATCGTCAACACTCATCCAGTCGTTCAGTTCACGCTATCATATCCTCGAAATGACGGCACAGCATACCCTTCTTCTGTGTGGAGGCTCTATGGACTGACTGACATTATCGTTGGACATATGACTCTAGTTTTTCTTACCACTCTGCCTTGATCGCTCACCACAACACCGTATCTACTATATCACGACAGAAATGATAGTATGAGTACATTCAGGAACGAAGACACAATTCTGTGACACGGGTGGCATGTAGAAGATGCCACATGGGACGGATTATCGGCTTATCATGTTTGGAGCGTTGATGTTATGGCTTGACTTGAACGCAGCTACGGTTTTAGCTGATTGTGATATGGTAGCAGGTTTGTAGCAGCAGTAAGCTAAACAACTGCGGTGTGGTGTAGCCTGATCTTGCAGCAACAACAGCGTTGTGGTGGTGCCAGCAGGAGCCGTGCATAATGAGGTCCTACCGGGAATTGAACCCGGATCGCTGGATTCAGAGTCCAGAGTGCTAACCATTACACCATAAGACCAGCATTACGTCATCCCATCCCAAAATCAATCTTAAACGCTTTTCAAAACATCAAACGCTATCGGCAGGTCTCACATCGTCAAATTGCTACACCAAAACCCCATGCTTTGAGCCGCGCACAAAAACGAGCTCCTACCGGGATTTGAACCCGGATCGCTGGATTCAAAGTCCAGAGTGCTAACCATTACACCATAAGAGCAACCAGACCAACAATCCATCGACCGTCCACAAACATCGTCAACACTCATCCAGTCGTTCAGTTCACGCTATCATATCCTCGAAATGACGGCACAGCATACCCTTCTTCTGTGTGGAGGCTCTATGGACTGACTGACATTATCGTTGGACATATGACTCTAGTTTTTCTTACCACTCTGCCTTGATCGCTCACCACAACACCGTATCTACTATATCACGACAGAAATGATAGTATGAGTACATTCAGGAACGAAGACACAATTCTGTGACACGGGTGGCATGTAGAAGATGCCACATGGGACGGATTATCGGCTTATCATGTTTGGAGCGTTGATGTTATGGCTTGACTTGAACGCAGCTACGGTTTTAGCTGATTGTGATATGGTAGCAGGTTTGTAGCAGCAGTAAGCTAAACAACTGCGGTGTGGTGTAGCCTGATCTTGCAGCAACAACAGCGTTGTGGTGGTGCCAGCAGGAGCCGTGCATAATGAGGTCCTACCGGGAATTGAACCCGGATCGCTGGATTCAGAGTCCAGAGTGCTAACCATTACACCATAAGACCAGCATTACGTCATCCCATCCCAAAATCAATCTTAAACGCTTTTCAAAACATCAAACGCTATCGGCAGGTCTCACATCGTCAAATTGCTACACCAAAACCCCATGCTTTGAGCCGCGCACAAAAACGAGCTCCTACCGGGATTTGAACCCGGATCGCTGGATTCAAAGTCCAGAGTGCTAACCATTACACCATAAGAGCAACCAGACCAACAATCCATCGACCGTCCACAAAATCGTCAACACTCATCCAGTCGTTCAGTTCACGCTATCATATCCTCGAAATGACGGCACAGCATACCCTTCTTCTGTGTGGAGGCTCTATGGACTGACTGACATTATCGTTGGACATATGACTCTAGTTTTTCTTACCACTCTGCCTTGATCGCTCACCACAACACCGTATCTACTATATCACGACAGAAATGATAGTATGAGTACATTCAGGAACGAAGACACAATTCTGTGACACGGGTGGCATGTAGAAGATGCCACATGGGACGGATTATCGGCTTATCATGTTTGGAGCGTTGATGTTATGGCTTGACTTGAACGCAGCTACGGTTTTAGCTGATTGTGATATGGTAGCAGGTTTGTAGCAGCAGTAAGCTAAACAACTGCGGTGTGGTGTAGCCTGATCTTGCAGCAACAACAGCGTTGTGGTGGTGCCAGCAGGAGCCGTGCATAATGAGGTCCTACCGGGAATTGAACCCGGATCGCTGGATTCAGAGTCCAGAGTGCTAACCATTACACCATAAGACCAGCATTACGTCATCCCATCCCAAAATCAATCTTAAACGCTTTTCAAAACATCAAACGCTATCGGCAGGTCTCATGTAAATTGTCAAAACATCTTTGACCCGCACAAAAACGGCTCCTACCATTTGAACCCGGTCGCTGGATTCAAAGTCCAGAGTGCTAACCATTACACCATAAGACCAGCATTACGTCATCCCATCCCAAAATCAATCTTAAACGCTTTTCAAAACATCAAACGCTATCGGCAGGTCTCACATCGTCAAATTGCTACACCAAAACCCCATGCTTTGAGCCGCGCACAAAAACGAGCTCCTACCGGGATTTGAACCCGGATCGCTGGATTCAAAGTCCAGAGTGCTAACCATTACACCATAAGAGCAACCAGACCAACAATCCATCGACCGTCCACAAAATCGTCAACACTCATCCAGTCGTTCAGTTCACGCTATCATATCCTCGAAATGACGGCACAGCATACCCTTCTTCTGTGTGGAGGCTCTATGGACTGACTGACATTATCGTTGGACATATGACTCTAGTTTTTCTTACCACTCTGCCTTGATCGCTCACCACAACACCGTATCTACTATATCACGACAGAAATGATAGTATGAGTACATTCAGGAACGAAGACACAATTCTGTGACACGGGTGGCATGTAGAAGATGCCACATGGGACGGATTATCGGCTTATCATGTTTGGAGCGTTGATGTTATGGCTTGACTTGAACGCAGCTACGGTTTTAGCTGATTGTGATATGGTAGCAGGTTTGTAGCAGCAGTAAGCTAAACAACTGCGGTGTGGTGTAGCCTGATCTTGCAGCAACAACAGCGTTGTGGTGGTGCCAGCAGGAGCCGTGCATAATGAGGTCCTACCGGGAATTGAACCCGGATCGCTGGATTCAGAGTCCAGAGTGCTAACCATTACACCATAAGACCAGCATTACGTCATCCCATCCCAAAATCAATCTTAAACGCTTTTCAAAACATCAAACGCTATCGGCAGGTCTCACATCGTCAAATTGCTACACCAAAACCCCATGCTTTGAGCCGCGCACAAAAACGAGCTCCTACCGGGATTTGAACCCGGATCGCTGGATTCAAAGTCCAGAGTGCTAACCATTACACCATAAGAGCAACCAGACCAACAATCCATCGACCGTCCACAAACATCGTCAACACTCATCCAGTCGTTCAGTTCACGCTATCATATCCTCGAAATGACGGCACAGCATACCCTTCTTCTGTGTGGAGGCTCTATGGACTGACTGACATTATCGTTGGACATATGACTCTAGTTTTTCTTACCACTCTGCCTTGATCGCTCACCACAACACCGTATCTACTATATCACGACAGAAATGATAGTATGAGTACATTCAGGAACGAAGACACAATTCTGTGACACGGGTGGCATGTAGAAGATGCCACATGGGGCGGATTATCGGCTTATCATGTTTGGAGCGTTGATGTTATGGCTTGACTTGAACGCAGCTACGGTTTTAGCTGATTGTGATATGGTAGCAGGTTTGTAGCAGCAGTAAGCTAAACAACTGCGGTGTGGTGTAGCCTGATCTTGCAGCAACAACAGCGTTGTGGTGGTGCCAGCAGGAGCCGTGCATAATGAGGTCCTACCGGGAATTGAACCCGGATCGCTGGATTCAGAGTCCAGAGTGCTAACCATTACACCATAAGACCAGCATTACGTCATCCCATCCCAAAATCAATCTTAAACGCTTTTCAAAACATCAAACGCTATCGGCAGGTCTCACATCGTCAAATTGCTACACCAAAACCCCATGCTTTGAGCCGCGCACAAAAAACGAGCTCCTACCGGGATTTGAACCCGGATCGCTGGATTCAAAGTCCAGAGTGCTAACCATTACACCATAAGAGCAACCAGACCAACAATCCATCGACCGTCCACAAAATCGTCAACACTCATCCAGTCGTTCAGTTCACGCTATCATATCCTCGAAATGACGGCACAGCATACCCTTCTTCTGTGTGGAGGCTCTATGGACTGACTGACATTATCGTTGGACATATGACTCTAGTTTTTCTTACCACTCTGCCTTGATCGCTCACCACAACACCGTATCTACTATATCACGACAGAAATGATAGTATGAGTACATTCAGGAACGAAGACACAATTCTGTGACACGGGTGGCATGTAGAAGATGCCACATGGGGCGGATTATCGGCTTATCATGTTTGGAGCGTTGATGTTATGGCTTGACTTGAACGCAGCTACGGTTTTAGCTGATTGTGATATGGTAGCAGGTTTGTAGCAGCAGTAAGCTAAACAACTGCGGTGTGGTGTAGCCTGATCTTGCAGCAACAACAGCGTTGTGGTGGTGCCAGCAGGAGCCGTGCATAATGAGGTCCTACCGGGAATTGAACCCGGATCGCTGGATTCAGAGTCCAGAGTGCTAACCATTACACCATAAGACCAGCATTACGTCATCCCATCCCAAAATCAATCTTAAACGCTTTTCAAAACATCAAACGCTATCGGCAGGTCTCACATCGTCAAATTGCTACACCAAAACCCCATGCTTTGAGCCGCGCACAAAAACGAGCTCCTACCGGGATTTGAACCCGGATCGCTGGATTCAAAGTCCAGAGTGCTAACCATTACACCATAAGAGCAACCAGACCAACAATCCATCGACCGTCCACAAAATCGTCAACACTCATCCAGTCGTTCAGTTCACGCTATCATATCCTCGAAATGACGGCACAGCATACCCTTCTTCTGTGTGGAGGCTCTATGGACTGACTGACATTATCGTTGGACATATGACTCTAGTTTTTCTTACCACTCTGCCTTGATCGCTCACCACAACACCGTATCTACTATATCACGACAGAAATGATAGTATGAGTACATTCAGGAACGAAGACACAATTCTGTGACACGGGTGGCATGTAGAAGATGCCACATGGGACGGATTATCGGCTTATCATGTTTGGAGCGTTGATGTTATGGCTTGACTTGAACGCAGCTACGGTTTTAGCTGATTGTGATATGGTAGCAGGTTTGTAGCAGCAGTAAGCTAAACAACTGCGGTGTGGTGTAGCCTGATCTTGCAGCAACAACAGCGTTGTGGTGGTGCCAGCAGGAGCCGTGCATAATGAGGTCCTACCGGGAATTGAACCCGGATCGCTGGATTCAGAGTCCAGAGTGCTAACCATTACACCATAAGACCAGCATTACGTCATCCCATCCCAAAATCAATCTTAAACGCTTTTCAAAACATCAAACGCTATCGGCAGGTCTCACATCGTCAAATTGCTACACCAAAACCCCATGCTTTGAGCCGCGCACAAAAACGAGCTCCTACCGGGATTTGAACCCGGATCGCTGGATTCAAAGTCCAGAGTGCTAACCATTACACCATAAGAGCAACCAGACCAACAATCCATCGACCGTCCACAAAATCGTCAACACTCATCCAGTCGTTCAGTTCACGCTATCATATCCTCGAAATGACGGCACAGCATACCCTTCTTCTGTGTGGAGGCTCTATGGACTGACTGACATTATCGTTGGACATATGACTCTAGTTTTTCTTACCACTCTGCCTTGATCGCTCACCACAACACCGTATCTACTATATCACGACAGAAATGATAGTATGAGTACATTCAGGAACGAAGACACAATTCTGTGACACGGGTGGCATGTAGAAGATGCCACATGGGACGGATTATCGGCTTATCATGTTTGGAGCGTTGATGTTATGGCTTGACTTGAACGCAGCTACGGTTTTAGCTGATTGTGATATGGTAGCAGGTTTGTAGCAGCAGTAAGCTAAACAACTGCGGTGTGGTGTAGCCTGATCTTGCAGCAACAACAGCGTTGTGGTGGTGCCAGCAGGAGCCGTGCATAATGAGGTCCTACCGGGAATTGAACCCGGATCGCTGGATTCAGAGTCCAGAGTGCTAACCATTACACCATAAGACCAGCATTACGTCATCCCATCCCAAAATCAATCTTAAACGCTTTTCAAAACATCAAACGCTATCGGCAGGTCTCACATCGTCAAATTGCTACACCAAAACCCCATGCTTTGAGCCGCGCACAAAAACGAGCTCCTACCGGGATTTGAACCCGGATCGCTGGATTCAAAGTCCAGAGTGCTAACCATTACACCATAAGAGCAACCAGACCAACAATCCATCGACCGTCCACAAAATCGTCAACACTCATCCAGTCGTTCAGTTCACGCTATCATATCCTCGAAATGACGGCACAGCATACCCTTCTTCTGTGTGGAGGCTCTATGGACTGACTGACATTATCGTTGGACATATGACTCTAGTTTTTCTTACCACTCTGCCTTGATCGCTCACCACAACACCGTATCTACTATATCACGACAGAAATGATAGTATGAGTACATTCAGGAACGAAGACACAATTCTGTGACACGGGTGGCATGTAGAAGATGCCACATGGGGCGGATTATCGGCTTATCATGTTTGGAGCGTTGATGTTATGGCTTGACTTGAACGCAGCTACGGTTTTAGCTGATTGTGATATGGTAGCAGGTTTGTAGCAGCAGTAAGCTAAACAACTGCGGTGTGGTGTAGCCTGATCTTGCAGCAACAACAGCGTTGTGGTGGTGCCAGCAGGAGCCGTGCATAATGAGGTCCTACCGGGAATTGAACCCGGATCGCTGGATTCAGAGTCCAGAGTGCTAACCATTACACCATAAGACCAGCATTACGTCATCCCATCCCAAAATCAATCTTAAACGCTTTTCAAAACATCAAACGCTATCGGCAGGTCTCACATCGTCAAATTGCTACACCAAAACCCCATGCTTTGAGCCGCGCACAAAAACGAGCTCCTACCGGGATTTGAACCCGGATCGCTGGATTCAAAGTCCAGAGTGCTAACCATTACACCATAAGAGCAACCAGACCAACAATCCATCGACCGTCCACAAACATCGTCAACACTCATCCAGTCGTTCAGTTCACGCTATCATATCCTCGAAATGACGGCACAGCATACCCTTCTTCTGTGTGGAGGCTCTATGGACTGACTGACATTATCGTTGGACATATGACTCTAGTTTTTCTTACCACTCTGCCTTGATCGCTCACCACAACACCGTATCTACTATATCACGACAGAAATGATAGTATGAGTACATTCAGGAACGAAGACACAATTCTGTGACACGGGTGGCATGTAGAAGATGCCACATGGGACGGATTATCGGCTTATCATGTTTGGAGCGTTGATGTTATGGCTTGACTTGAACGCAGCTACGGTTTTAGCTGATTGTGATATGGTAGCAGGTTTGTAGCAGCAGTAAGCTAAACAACTGCGGTGTGGTGTAGCCTGATCTTGCAGCAACAACAGCGTTGTGGTGGTGCCAGCAGGAGCCGTGCATAATGAGGTCCTACCGGGAATTGAACCCGGATCGCTGGATTCAGAGTCCAGAGTGCTAACCATTACACCATAAGACCAGCATTACGTCATCCCATCCCAAAATCAATCTTAAACGCTTTTCAAAACATCAAACGCTATCGGCAGGTCTCACATCGTCAAATTGCTACACCAAAACCCCATGCTTTGAGCCGCGCACAAAAACGAGCTCCTACCGGGATTTGAACCCGGATCGCTGGATTCAAAGTCCAGAGTGCTAACCATTACACCATAAGAGCAACCAGACCAACAATCCATCGACCGTCCACAAAATCGTCAACACTCATCCAGTCGTTCAGTTCACGCTATCATATCCTCGAAATGACGGCACAGCATACCCTTCTTCTGTGTGGAGGCTCTATGGACTGACTGACATTATCGTTGGACATATGACTCTAGTTTTTCTTACCACTCTGCCTTGATCGCTCACCACAACACCGTATCTACTATATCACGACAGAAATGATAGTATGAGTACATTCAGGAACGAAGACACAATTCTGTGACACGGGTGGCATGTAGAAGATGCCACATGGGACGGATTATCGGCTTATCATGTTTGGAGCGTTGATGTTATGGCTTGACTTGAACGCAGCTACGGTTTTAGCTGATTGTGATATGGTAGCAGGTTTGTAGCAGCAGTAAGCTAAACAACTGCGGTGTGGTGTAGCCTGATCTTGCAGCAACAACAGCGTTGTGGTGGTGCCAGCAGGAGCCGTGCATAATGAGGTCCTACCGGGAATTGAACCCGGATCGCTGGATTCAGAGTCCAGAGTGCTAACCATTACACCATAAGACCAGCATTACGTCATCCCATCCCAAAATCAATCTTAAACGCTTTTCAAAACATCAAACGCTATCGGCAGGTCTCACATCGTCAAATTGCTACACCAAAACCCCATGCTTTGAGCCGCGCACAAAAACGAGCTCCTACCGGGATTTGAACCCGGATCGCTGGATTCAAAGTCCAGAGTGCTAACCATTACACCATAAGAGCAACCAGACCAACAATCCATCGACCGTCCACAAAATCGTCAACACTCATCCAGTCGTTCAGTTCACGCTATCATATCCTCGAAATGACGGCACAGCATACCCTTCTTCTGTGTGGAGGCTCTATGGACTGACTGACATTATCGTTGGACATATGACTCTAGTTTTTCTTACCACTCTGCCTTGATCGCTCACCACAACACCGTATCTACTATATCACGACAGAAATGATAGTATGAGTACATTCAGGAACGAAGACACAATTCTGTGACACGGGTGGCATGTAGAAGATGCCACATGGGACGGATTATCGGCTTATCATGTTTGGAGCGTTGATGTTATGGCTTGACTTGAACGCAGCTACGGTTTTAGCTGATTGTGATATGGTAGCAGGTTTGTAGCAGCAGTAAGCTAAACAACTGCGGTGTGGTGTAGCCTGATCTTGCAGCAACAACAGCGTTGTGGTGGTGCCAGCAGGAGCCGTGCATAATGAGGTCCTACCGGGAATTGAACCCGGATCGCTGGATTCAGAGTCCAGAGTGCTAACCATTACACCATAAGACCAGCATTACGTCATCCCATCCCAAAATCAATCTTAAACGCTTTTCAAAACATCAAACGCTATCGGCAGGTCTCACATCGTCAAATTGCTACACCAAAACCCCCATGCTTTGAGCCGCGCACAAAAACGAGCTCCTACCGGGATTTGAACCCGGATCGCTGGATTCAAAGTCCAGAGTGCTAACCATTACACCATAAGAGCAACCAGACCAACAATCCATCGACCGTCCACAAAATCGTCAACACTCATCCAGTCGTTCAGTTCACGCTATCATATCCTCGAAATGACGGCACAGCATACCCTTCTTCTGTGTGGAGGCTCTATGGACTGACTGACATTATCGTTGGACATATGACTCTAGTTTTTCTTACCACTCTGCCTTGATCGCTCACCACAACACCGTATCTACTATATCACGACAGAAATGATAGTATGAGTACATTCAGGAACGAAGACACAATTCTGTGACACGGGTGGCATGTAGAAGATGCCACATGGGACGGATTATCGGCTTATCATGTTTGGAGCGTTGATGTTATGGCTTGACTTGAACGCAGCTACGGTTTTAGCTGATTGTGATATGGTAGCAGGTTTGTAGCAGCAGTAAGCTAAACAACTGCGGTGTGGTGTAGCCTGATCTTGCAGCAACAACAGCGTTGTGGTGGTGCCAGCAGGAGCCGTGCATAATGAGGTCCTACCGGGAATTGAACCCGGATCGCTGGATTCAGAGTCCAGAGTGCTAACCATTACACCATAAGACCAGCATTACGTCATCCCATCCCAAAATCAATCTTAAACGCTTTTCAAAACATCAAACGCTATCGGCAGGTCTCACATCGTCAAATTGCTACACCAAAACCCCATGCTTTGAGCCGCGCACAAAAACGAGCTCCTACCGGGATTTGAACCCGGATCGCTGGATTCAAAGTCCAGAGTGCTAACCATTACACCATAAGAGCAACCAGACCAACAATCCATCGACCGTCCACAAAATCGTCAACACTCATCCAGTCGTTCAGTTCACGCTATCATATCCTCGAAATGACGGCACAGCATACCCTTCTTCTGTGTGGAGGCTCTATGGACTGACTGACATTATCGTTGGACATATGACTCTAGTTTTTCTTACCACTCTGCCTTGATCGCTCACCACAACACCGTATCTACTATATCACGACAGAAATGATAGTATGAGTACATTCAGGAACGAAGACACAATTCTGTGACACGGGTGGCATGTAGAAGATGCCACATGGGGCGGATTATCGGCTTATCATGTTTGGAGCGTTGATGTTATGGCTTGACTTGAACGCAGCTACGGTTTTAGCTGATTGTGATATGGTAGCAGGTTTGTAGCAGCAGTAAGCTAAACAACTGCGGTGTGGTGTAGCCTGATCTTGCAGCAACAACAGCGTTGTGGTGGTGCCAGCAGGAGCCGTGCATAATGAGGTCCTACCGGGAATTGAACCCGGATCGCTGGATTCAAAGTCCAGAGTGCTAACCATTACACCATAAGACCAGCATTACGTCATCCCATCCCAAATCAATCTTAAACGCTTTTCAAAACATCAAACCTATCCTCACACAAATCTAACCAAAACCCCACTTACCACAAAAAACTCCTACCGATTTGAACCCGGATCGCTGGATTCAGAGTCCAGAGTGCTAACCATTACACCATAAGACCAGCATTACGTCATCCCATCCCAAAATCAATCTTAAACGCTTTTCAAAACATCAAACGCTATCGGCAGGTCTCACATCGTCAAATTGCTACACCAAAACCCCATGCTTTGAGCCGCGCACAAAAACGAGCTCCTACCGGGATTTGAACCCGGATCGCTGGATTCAAAGTCCAGAGTGCTAACCATTACACCATAAGAGCAACCAGACCAACAATCCATCGACCGTCCACAAAATCGTCAACACTCATCCAGTCGTTCAGTTCACGCTATCATATCCTCGAAATGACGGCACAGCATACCCTTCTTCTGTGTGGAGGCTCTATGGACTGACTGACATTATCGTTGGACATATGACTCTAGTTTTTCTTACCACTCTGCCTTGATCGCTCACCACAACACCGTATCTACTATATCACGACAGAAATGATAGTATGAGTACATTCAGGAACGAAGACACAATTCTGTGACACGGGTGGCATGTAGAAGATGCCACATGGGACGGATTATCGGCTTATCATGTTTGGAGCGTTGATGTTATGGCTTGACTTGAACGCAGCTACGGTTTTAGCTGATTGTGATATGGTAGCAGGTTTGTAGCAGCAGTAAGCTAAACAACTGCGGTGTGGTGTAGCCTGATCTTGCAGCAACAACAGCGTTGTGGTGGTGCCAGCAGGAGCCGTGCATAATGAGGTCCTACCGGGAATTGAACCCGGATCGCTGGATTCAGAGTCCAGAGTGCTAACCATTACACCATAAGACCAGCATTACGTCATCCCATCCCAAAATCAATCTTAAACGCTTTTCAAAACATCAAACGCTATCGGCAGGTCTCACATCGTCAAATTGCTACACCAAAACCCCATGCTTTGAGCCGCGCACAAAAACGAGCTCCTACCGGGATTTGAACCCGGATCGCTGGATTCAAAGTCCAGAGTGCTAACCATTACACCATAAGAGCAACCAGACCAACAATCCATCGACCGTCCACAAAATCGTCAACACTCATCCAGTCGTTCAGTTCACGCTATCATATCCTCGAAATGACGGCACAGCATACCCTTCTTCTGTGTGGAGGCTCTATGGACTGACTGACATTATCGTTGGACATATGACTCTAGTTTTTCTTACCACTCTGCCTTGATCGCTCACCACAACACCGTATCTACTATATCACGACAGAAATGATAGTATGAGTACATTCAGGAACGAAGACACAATTCTGTGACACGGGTGGCATGTAGAAGATGCCACATGGGGCGGATTATCGGCTTATCATGTTTGGAGCGTTGATGTTATGGCTTGACTTGAACGCAGCTACGGTTTTAGCTGATTGTGATATGGTAGCAGGTTTGTAGCAGCAGTAAGCTAAACAACTGCGGTGTGGTGTAGCCTGATCTTGCAGCAACAACAGCGTTGTGGTGGTGCCAGCAGGAGCCGTGCATAATGAGGTCCTACCGGGAATTGAACCCGGATCGCTGGATTCAGAGTCCAGAGTGCTAACCATTACACCATAAGACCAGCATTACGTCATCCCATCCCAAAATCAATCTTAAACGCTTTTCAAAACATCAAACGCTATCGGCAGGTCTCACATCGTCAAATTGCTACACCAAAACCCCATGCTTTGAGCCGCGCACAAAAACGACTCCTACCGATTTGAACCCGGATCGCTGGATTCAGAGTCCAGAGTGCTAACCATTACACCATAAGACCAGCATTACGTCATCCCATCCCAAAATCAATCTTAAACGCTTTTCAAAACATCAAACGCTATCGGCAGGTCTCACATCGTCAAATTGCTACACCAAAACCCCATGCTTTGAGCCGCGCACAAAAACGAGCTCCTACCGGGATTTGAACCCGGATCGCTGGATTCAAAGTCCAGAGTGCTAACCATTACACCATAAGAGCAACCAGACCAACAATCCATCGACCGTCCACAAAATCGTCAACACTCATCCAGTCGTTCAGTTCACGCTATCATATCCTCGAAATGACGGCACAGCATACCCTTCTTCTGTGTGGAGGCTCTATGGACTGACTGACATTATCGTTGGACATATGACTCTAGTTTTTCTTACCACTCTGCCTTGATCGCTCACCACAACACCGTATCTACTATATCACGACAGAAATGATAGTATGAGTACATTCAGGAACGAAGACACAATTCTGTGACACGGGTGGCATGTAGAAGATGCCACATGGGACGGATTATCGGCTTATCATGTTTGGAGCGTTGATGTTATGGCTTGACTTGAACGCAGCTACGGTTTTAGCTGATTGTGATATGGTAGCAGGTTTGTAGCAGCAGTAAGCTAAACAACTGCGGTGTGGTGTAGCCTGATCTTGCAGCAACAACAGCGTTGTGGTGGTGCCAGCAGGAGCCGTGCATAATGAGGTCCTACCGGGAATTGAACCCGGATCGCTGGATTCAGAGTCCAGAGTGCTAACCATTACACCATAAGACCAGCATTACGTCATCCCATCCCAAAATCAATCTTAAACGCTTTTCAAAACATCAAACGCTATCGGCAGGTCTCACATCGTCAAATTGCTACACCAAAACCCCATGCTTTGAGCCGCGCACAAAAACGAGCTCCTACCGGGATTTGAACCCGGATCGCTGGATTCAAAGTCCAGAGTGCTAACCATTACACCATAAGAGCAACCAGACCAACAATCCATCGCACCGTCCACAAAATCGTCAACACTCATCCAGTCGTTCAGTTCACGCTATCATATCCTCGAAATGACGGCACAGCATACCCTTCTTCTGTGTGGAGGCTCTATGGACTGACTGACATTATCGTTGGACATATGACTCTAGTTTTTCTTACCACTCTGCCTTGATCGCTCACCACAACACCGTATCTACTATATCACGACAGAAATGATAGTATGAGTACATTCAGGAACGAAGACACAATTCTGTGACACGGGTGGCATGTAGAAGATGCCACATGGGACGGATTATCGGCTTATCATGTTTGGAGCGTTGATGTTATGGCTTGACTTGAACGCAGCTACGGTTTTAGCTGATTGTGATATGGTAGCAGGTTTGTAGCAGCAGTAAGCTAAACAACTGCGGTGTGGTGTAGCCTGATCTTGCAGCAACAACAGCGTTGTGGTGGTGCCAGCAGGAGCCGTGCATAATGAGGTCCTACCGGGAATTGAACCCGGATCGCTGGATTCGAGTCCGGTGCTAACCATTACACCATAAGACACTTACGTCATCCCATCCCAAACATCTTAAACCTTTTCACATCACGCTATCCTCTCCTCTCCTACCAAAACCCTTCCCCCAACACTCCTACCGTTGAACCCGGATCGCTGGATTCAGAGTCCAGAGTGCTAACCATTACACCATAAGACCAGCATTACGTCATCCCATCCCAAAATCAATCTTAAACGCTTTTCAAAACATTAAACGCTATCGGCAGGTCTCACATCGTCAAATTGCTACACCAAAACCCCATGCTTTGAGCCGCGCACAAAAACGAGCTCCTACCGGGATTTGAACCCGGATCGCTGGATTCAAAGTCCAGAGTGCTAACCATTACACCATAAGAGCAACCAGACCAACAATCCATCGACCGTCCACAAACATCGTCAACACTCATCCAGTCGTTCAGTTCACGCTATCATATCCTCGAAATGACGGCACAGCATACCCTTCTTCTGTGTGGAGGCTCTATGGACTGACTGACATTATCGTTGGACATATGACTCTAGTTTTTCTTACCACTCTGCCTTGATCGCTCACCACAACACCGTATCTACTATATCACGACAGAAATGATAGTATGAGTACATTCAGGAACGAAGACACAATTCTGTGACACGGGTGGCATGTAGAAGATGCCACATGGGACGGATTATCGGCTTATCATGTTTGGAGCGTTGATGTTATGGCTTGACTTGAACGCAGCTACGGTTTTAGCTGATTGTGATATGGTAGCAGGTTTGTAGCAGCAGTAAGCTAAACAACTGCGGTGTGGTGTAGCCTGATCTTGCAGCAACAACAGCGTTGTGGTGGTGCCAGCAGGAGCCGTGCATAATGAGGTCCTACCGGGAATTGAACCCGGATCGCTGGATTCAGAGTCCAGAGTGCTAACCATTACACCATAAGACCAGCATTACGTCATCCCATCCCAAAATCAATCTTAAACGCTTTTCAAAACATCAAACGCTATCGGCAGGTCTCACATCGTCAAATTGCTACACCAAAACCCCATGCTTTGAGCCGCGCACAAAAACGAGCTCCTACCGGGATTTGAACCCGGATCGCTGGATTCAAAGTCCAGAGTGCTAACCATTACACCATAAGAGCAACCAGACCAACAATCCATCGCCACCGTCCACAAAATCGTCAACACTCATCCAGTCGTTCAGTTCACGCTATCATATCCTCGAAATGACGGCACAGCATACCCTTCTTCTGTGTGGAGGCTCTATGGACTGACTGACATTATCGTTGGACATATGACTCTAGTTTTTCTTACCACTCTGCCTTGATCGCTCACCACAACACCGTATCTACTATATCACGACAGAAATGATAGTATGAGTACATTCAGGAACGAAGACACAATTCTGTGACACGGGTGGCATGTAGAAGATGCCACATGGGACGGATTATCGGCTTATCATGTTTGGAGCGTTGATGTTATGGCTTGACTTGAACGCAGCTACGGTTTTAGCTGATTGTGATATGGTAGCAGGTTTGTAGCAGCAGTAAGCTAAACAACTGCGGTGTGGTGTAGCCTGATCTTGCAGCAACAACAGCGTTGTGGTGGTGCCAGCAGGAGCCGTGCATAATGAGGTCCTACCGGGAATTGAACCCGGATCGCTGGATTCAGAGTCCAGAGTGCTAACCATTACACCATAAGACCAGCATTACGTCATCCCATCCCAAAATCAATCTTAAACGCTTTTCAAAACATCAAACGCTATCGGCAGGTCTCACATCGTCAAATTGCTACACCCAAAACCCCATGCTTTAGAGCCGCGCACAAAAACGAGCTCCTACCGGATTTGAACCCGGATCGCTGGATTCAGAGTCCAGAGTGCTAACCATTACACCATAAGACCAGCATTACGTCATCCCATCCCAAAATCAATCTTAAACGCTTTTCAAAACATCAAACGCTATCGGCAGGTCTCACATCGTCAAATTGCTACACCAAAACCCCATGCTTTGAGCCGCGCACAAAAACGAGCTCCTACCGGGATTTGAACCCGGATCGCTGGATTCAAAGTCCAGAGTGCTAACCATTACACCATAAGAGCAACCAGACCAACAATCCATCGACCGTCCACAAAATCGTCAACACTCATCCAGTCGTTCAGTTCACGCTATCATATCCTCGAAATGACGGCACAGCATACCCTTCTTCTGTGTGGAGGCTCTATGGACTGACTGACATTATCGTTGGACATATGACTCTAGTTTTTCTTACCACTCTGCCTTGATCGCTCACCACAACACCGTATCTACTATATCACGACAGAAATGATAGTATGAGTACATTCAGGAACGAAGACACAATTCTGTGACACGGGTGGCATGTAGAAGATGCCACATGGGACGGATTATCGGCTTATCATGTTTGGAGCGTTGATGTTATGGCTTGACTTGAACGCAGCTACGGTTTTAGCTGATTGTGATATGGTAGCAGGTTTGTAGCAGCAGTAAGCTAAACAACTGCGGTGTGGTGTAGCCTGATCTTGCAGCAACAACAGCGTTGTGGTGGTGCCAGCAGGAGCCGTGCATAATGAGGTCCTACCGGGAATTGAACCCGGATCGCTGGATTCAGAGTCCAGAGTGCTAACCATTACACCATAAGACCAGCATTACGTCATCCCATCCCAAAATCAATCTTAAACGCTTTTCAAAACATCAAACGCTATCGGCAGGTCTCACATCGTCAAATTGCTACACCAAAACCCCATGCTTTGAGCCGCGCACAAAAACGAGCTCCTACCGGGATTTGAACCCGGATCGCTGGATTCAAAGTCCAGAGTGCTAACCATTACACCATAAGAGCAACCAGACCAACAATCCATCGCGCACCGTCCACAAAATCGTCAACACTCATCCAGTCGTTCAGTTCACGCTATCATATCCTCGAAATGACGGCACAGCATACCCTTCTTCTGTGTGGAGGCTCTATGGACTGACTGACATTATCGTTGGACATATGACTCTAGTTTTTCTTACCACTCTGCCTTGATCGCTCACCACAACACCGTATCTACTATATCACGACAGAAATGATAGTATGAGTACATTCAGGAACGAAGACACAATTCTGTGACACGGGTGGCATGTAGAAGATGCCACATGGGACGGATTATCGGCTTATCATGTTTGGAGCGTTGATGTTATGGCTTGACTTGAACGCAGCTACGGTTTTAGCTGATTGTGATATGGTAGCAGGTTTGTAGCAGCAGTAAGCTAAACAACTGCGGTGTGGTGTAGCCTGATCTTGCAGCAACAACAGCGTTGTGGTGGTGCCAGCAGGAGCCGTGCATAATGAGGTCCTACCGGGAATTGAACCCGGATCGCTGGATTCAGAGTCCAGAGTGCTAACCATTACACCATAAGACCAGCATTACGTCATCCCATCCCAAAATCAATCTTAAACGCTTTTCAAAACATCAAACGCTATCGGCAGGTCTCACATCGTCAAATTGCTACACCAAAACCCCATGCTTTGAGCCGCGCACAAAAACGAGCTCCTACCGGGATTTGAACCCGGATCGCTGGATTCAAAGTCCAGAGTGCTAACCATTACACCATAAGAGCAACCAGACCAACAATCCATCGACCGTCCACAAAATCGTCAACACTCATCCAGTCGTTCAGTTCACGCTATCATATCCTCGAAATGACGGCACAGCATACCCTTCTTCTGTGTGGAGGCTCTATGGACTGACTGACATTATCGTTGGACATATGACTCTAGTTTTTCTTACCACTCTGCCTTGATCGCTCACCACAACACCGTATCTACTATATCACGACAGAAATGATAGTATGAGTACATTCAGGAACGAAGACACAATTCTGTGACACGGGTGGCATGTAGAAGATGCCACATGGGACGGATTATCGGCTTATCATGTTTGGAGCGTTGATGTTATGGCTTGACTTGAACGCAGCTACGGTTTTAGCTGATTGTGATATGGTAGCAGGTTTGTAGCAGCAGTAAGCTAAACAACTGCGGTGTGGTGTAGCCTGATCTTGCAGCAACAACAGCGTTGTGGTGGTGCCAGCAGGAGCCGTGCATAATGAGGTCCTACCGGGAATTGAACCCGGATCGCTGGATTCAGAGTCCAGAGTGCTAACCATTACACCATAAGACCAGCATTACGTCATCCCATCCCAAAATCAATCTTAAACGCTTTTCAAAACATCAAACGCTATCGGCAGTCTCACATCGTCAAATTGCTACACCAAAACCCCATGCTTTGAGCCGCGCACAAAAACGAGCTCCTACCGGGATTTGAACCCGGATCGCTGGATTCAGAGTCCAGAGTGCTAACCATTACACCATAAGACCAGATTACGTCATCCCATCCCAAAATCAATCTTAAACGCTTTTCAAAACATCAAACGCTATCGGCAGGTCTCACATCGTCAAATTGCTACACCAAAACCCCATGCTTTGAGCCGCGCACAAAAACGAGCTCCTACCGGGATTTGAACCCGGATCGCTGGATTCAAAGTCCAGAGTGCTAACCATTACACCATAAGAGCAACCAGACCAACAATCCATCGCCGTCCACCGTCCACAAAATCGTCAACACTCATCCAGTCGTTCAGTTCACGCTATCATATCCTCGAAATGACGGCACAGCATACCCTTCTTCTGTGTGGAGGCTCTATGGACTGACTGACATTATCGTTGGACATATGACTCTAGTTTTTCTTACCACTCTGCCTTGATCGCTCACCACAACACCGTATCTACTATATCACGACAGAAATGATAGTATGAGTACATTCAGGAACGAAGACACAATTCTGTGACACGGGTGGCATGTAGAAGATGCCACATGGGACGGATTATCGGCTTATCATGTTTGGAGCGTTGATGTTATGGCTTGACTTGAACGCAGCTACGGTTTTAGCTGATTGTGATATGGTAGCAGGTTTGTAGCAGCAGTAAGCTAAACAACTGCGGTGTGGTGTAGCCTGATCTTGCAGCAACAACAGCGTTGTGGTGGTGCCAGCAGGAGCCGTGCATAATGAGGTCCTACCGGGAATTGAACCCGGATCGCTGGATTCAGAGTCCAGAGTGCTAACCATTACACCATAAGACCAGCATTACGTCATCCCATCCCAAAATCAATCTTAAACGCTTTTCAAAACATCAAACGCTATCGGCAGGTCTCACATCGTCAAATTGCTACACCAAAACCCCATGCTTTGAGCCGCGCACAAAAACGAGCTCCTACCGGGATTTGAACCCGGATCGCTGGATTCAAAGTCCAGAGTGCTAACCATTACACCATAAGAGCAACCAGACCAACAATCCATCGACCGTCCACAAAATCGTCAACACTCATCCAGTCGTTCAGTTCACGCTATCATATCCTCGAAATGACGGCACAGCATACCCTTCTTCTGTGTGGAGGCTCTATGGACTGACTGACATTATCGTTGGACATATGACTCTAGTTTTTCTTACCACTCTGCCTTGATCGCTCACCACAACACCGTATCTACTATATCACGACAGAAATGATAGTATGAGTACATTCAGGAACGAAGACACAATTCTGTGACACGGGTGGCATGTAGAAGATGCCACATGGGACGGATTATCGGCTTATCATGTTTGGAGCGTTGATGTTATGGCTTGACTTGAACGCAGCTACGGTTTTAGCTGATTGTGATATGGTAGCAGGTTTGTAGCAGCAGTAAGCTAAACAACTGCGGTGTGGTGTAGCCTGATCTTGCAGCAACAACAGCGTTGTGGTGGTGCCAGCAGGAGCCGTGCATAATGAGGTCCTACCGGGAATTGAACCCGGATCGCTGGATTCAGAGTCCAGAGTGCTAACCATTACACCATAAGACCAGCATTACGTCATCCCATCCCAAAATCAATCTTAAACGCTTTTCAAAACATAAACGCTATCGGAGGTCTCACATCGTCAAATTGCTACACCAAAACCCCATGCTTTGAGCGCGCACAAAAACGAGCTCCTACCGTTTGAACCCGGATCGCTGGATTCAGAGTCCAGAGTGCTAACCATTACACCATAAGACCAGCATTAGTCATCCCATCCCAAAATCAATCTTAAACGCTTTTCAAAACATTAAACGCTATCGGCAGGTCTCACATCGTCAAATTGCTACACCAAAACCCCATGCTTTGAGCCGCGCACAAAAACGAGCTCCTACCGGGATTTGAACCCGGATCGCTGGATTCAAAGTCCAGAGTGCTAACCATTACACCATAAGAGCAACCAGACCAACAATCCATCGACCGTCCACAAAATCGTCAACACTCATCCAGTCGTTCAGTTCACGCTATCATATCCTCGAAATGACGGCACAGCATACCCTTCTTCTGTGTGGAGGCTCTATGGACTGACTGACATTATCGTTGGACATATGACTCTAGTTTTTCTTACCACTCTGCCTTGATCGCTCACCACAACACCGTATCTACTATATCACGACAGAAATGATAGTATGAGTACATTCAGGAACGAAGACACAATTCTGTGACACGGGTGGCATGTAGAAGATGCCACATGGGACGGATTATCGGCTTATCATGTTTGGAGCGTTGATGTTATGGCTTGACTTGAACGCAGCTACGGTTTTAGCTGATTGTGATATGGTAGCAGGTTTGTAGCAGCAGTAAGCTAAACAACTGCGGTGTGGTGTAGCCTGATCTTGCAGCAACAACAGCGTTGTGGTGGTGCCAGCAGGAGCCGTGCATAATGAGGTCCTACCGGGAATTGAACCCGGATCGCTGGATTCAGAGTCCAGAGTGCTAACCATTACACCATAAGACCAGCATTACGTCATCCCATCCCAAAATCAATCTTAAACGCTTTTCAAAACATCAAACGCTATCGGCAGGTCTCACATCGTCAAATTGCTACACCAAAACCCCATGCTTTGAGCGCGCACAAAAAGATCCTACCGGGTTTGAACCCGGATCGCTGGATTCAGAGTCCAGGTGCTAACCATTACACCATAAGACCAGCATTACGTCATCCCATCCCAAAATCAATCTTAAACGCTTTTCAAAACATCAAACGCTATCGGCAGGTCTCACATCGTCAAATTGCTACACCAAAACCCCATGCTTTGAGCCGCGCACAAAAACGAGCTCCTACCGGGATTTGAACCCGGATCGCTGGATTCAAAGTCCAGAGTGCTAACCATTACACCATAAGAGCAACCAGACCAACAATCCATCGACCGTCCACAAAATCGTCAACACTCATCCAGTCGTTCAGTTCACGCTATCATATCCTCGAAATGACGGCACAGCATACCCTTCTTCTGTGTGGAGGCTCTATGGACTGACTGACATTATCGTTGGACATATGACTCTAGTTTTTCTTACCACTCTGCCTTGATCGCTCACCACAACACCGTATCTACTATATCACGACAGAAATGATAGTATGAGTACATTCAGGAACGAAGACACAATTCTGTGACACGGGTGGCATGTAGAAGATGCCACATGGGACGGATTATCGGCTTATCATGTTTGGAGCGTTGATGTTATGGCTTGACTTGAACGCAGCTACGGTTTTAGCTGATTGTGATATGGTAGCAGGTTTGTAGCAGCAGTAAGCTAAACAACTGCGGTGTGGTGTAGCCTGATCTTGCAGCAACAACAGCGTTGTGGTGGTGCCAGCAGGAGCCGTGCATAATGAGGTCCTACCGGGAATTGAACCCGGATCGCTGGATTCAGAGTCCAGAGTGCTAACTTACACATAAGACCAGCATTACTCATCCCTCCCAAAATCAATCTTAAACGCTTTTCAAAACTCAAACTTCGTCTCACATCGTCAAATTGCTACACCAAAACCCCATGCTTTGAGCCGCGCACAAAAACGAGCTCCTACCGGATTTGAACCCGGATCGCTGGATTCAGAGTCCAGAGTGCTAACCATTACACCATAAGACCAGCATTACGTCATCCCATCCCAAAATCAATCTTAAACGCTTTTCAAAACATCAAACGCTATCGGCAGGTCTCACATCGTCAAATTGCTACACCAAAACCCCATGCTTTGAGCCGCGCACAAAAACGAGCTCCTACCGGGATTTGAACCCGGATCGCTGGATTCAAAGTCCAGAGTGCTAACCATTACACCATAAGAGCAACCAGACCAACAATCCATCGCCGCCCACCGTCCACAAAATCGTCAACACTCATCCAGTCGTTCAGTTCACGCTATCATATCCTCGAAATGACGGCACAGCATACCCTTCTTCTGTGTGGAGGCTCTATGGACTGACTGACATTATCGTTGGACATATGACTCTAGTTTTTCTTACCACTCTGCCTTGATCGCTCACCACAACACCGTATCTACTATATCACGACAGAAATGATAGTATGAGTACATTCAGGAACGAAGACACAATTCTGTGACACGGGTGGCATGTAGAAGATGCCACATGGGACGGATTATCGGCTTATCATGTTTGGAGCGTTGATGTTATGGCTTGACTTGAACGCAGCTACGGTTTTAGCTGATTGTGATATGGTAGCAGGTTTGTAGCAGCAGTAAGCTAAACAACTGCGGTGTGGTGTAGCCTGATCTTGCAGCAACAACAGCGTTGTGGTGGTGCCAGCAGGAGCCGTGCATAATGAGGTCCTACCGGGAATTGAACCCGGATCGCTGGATTCAGAGTCCAGAGTGCTAACCATTACACCATAAGACCAGCATTACGTCATCCCATCCCAAAATCAATCTTAAACGCTTTTCAAAACATCAAACGCTATCGGCAGGTCTCACATCGTCAAATTGCTACACCAAAACCCCATGCTTTGACCGCGCACAAAAACATCCTACCGGATTGAACCCGGATCGCTGGATTCAGAGTCCAGAGTGCTAACCATTACACCATAAGACCAGCATTACGTCATCCCATCCCAAAATCAATCTTAAACGCTTTTCAAAACATCAAACGCTATCGGCAGGTCTCACATCGTCAAATTGCTACACCAAAACCCCATGCTTTGAGCCGCGCACAAAAACGAGCTCCTACCGGGATTTGAACCCGGATCGCTGGATTCAAAGTCCAGAGTGCTAACCATTACACCATAAGAGCAACCAGACCAACAATCCATCGACCGTCCACAAAATCGTCAACACTCATCCAGTCGTTCAGTTCACGCTATCATATCCTCGAAATGACGGCACAGCATACCCTTCTTCTGTGTGGAGGCTCTATGGACTGACTGACATTATCGTTGGACATATGACTCTAGTTTTTCTTACCACTCTGCCTTGATCGCTCACCACAACACCGTATCTACTATATCACGACAGAAATGATAGTATGAGTACATTCAGGAACGAAGACACAATTCTGTGACACGGGTGGCATGTAGAAGATGCCACATGGGACGGATTATCGGCTTATCATGTTTGGAGCGTTGATGTTATGGCTTGACTTGAACGCAGCTACGGTTTTAGCTGATTGTGATATGGTAGCAGGTTTGTAGCAGCAGTAAGCTAAACAACTGCGGTGTGGTGTAGCCTGATCTTGCAGCAACAACAGCGTTGTGGTGGTGCCAGCAGGAGCCGTGCATAATGAGGTCCTACCGGGAATTGAACCCGGATCGCTGGATTCAGAGTCCAGAGTGCTAACCATTACACCATAAGACCAGCATTACGTCATCCCATCCCAAAATCAATCTTAAACGCTTTTCAAAACATCAAACGCTATCGGCAGGTCTCACATCGTCAAATTGCTACACCAAAACCCCATGCTTTGAGCCGCGCACAAAAACGAGCTCCTACCGGGATTTGAACCCGGATCGCTGGATTCAAAGTCCAGAGTGCTAACCATTACACCATAAGAGCAACCAGACCAACAATCCATCGCCCACCGTCCACAAAATCGTCAACACTCATCCAGTCGTTCAGTTCACGCTATCATATCCTCGAAATGACGGCACAGCATACCCTTCTTCTGTGTGGAGGCTCTATGGACTGACTGACATTATCGTTGGACATATGACTCTAGTTTTTCTTACCACTCTGCCTTGATCGCTCACCACAACACCGTATCTACTATATCACGACAGAAATGATAGTATGAGTACATTCAGGAACGAAGACACAATTCTGTGACACGGGTGGCATGTAGAAGATGCCACATGGGACGGATTATCGGCTTATCATGTTTGGAGCGTTGATGTTATGGCTTGACTTGAACGCAGCTACGGTTTTAGCTGATTGTGATATGGTAGCAGGTTTGTAGCAGCAGTAAGCTAAACAACTGCGGTGTGGTGTAGCCTGATCTTGCAGCAACAACAGCGTTGTGGTGGTGCCAGCAGGAGCCGTGCATAATGAGGTCCTACCGGGAATTGAACCCGGATCGCTGGATTCAGAGTCCAGAGTGCTAACCATTACACCATAAGACCAGCATTACGTCATCCCATCCCAAAATCAATCTTAAACGCTTTTCAAAACATAAACGCTATCGGCAGGTCTCACATCGTCAAATTGCTACACCAAAACCCCATGCTTTGAGCCGCGCACAAAAACGAGTCCTACCGTTTGAACCCGGATCGCTGGATTCAGAGTCCAGAGTGCTAACCATTACACCATAAGACCAGCATTACGTCATCCCATCCCAAAATCAATCTTAAACGCTTTTCAAAACATAAACGCTATCGGAGGTCTCACATCGTAAATTGCTAACCAAAACCCCATGCTTTGAGCCGCGCACAAAAACGAGCTCCTACCGGGATTTGAACCCGGATCGCTGGATTCAAAGTCCAGAGTGCTAACCATTACACCATAAGAGCAACCAGACCAACAATCCATCGACCGTCCACAAAATCGTCAACACTCATCCAGTCGTTCAGTTCACGCTATCATATCCTCGAAATGACGGCACAGCATACCCTTCTTCTGTGTGGAGGCTCTATGGACTGACTGACATTATCGTTGGACATATGACTCTAGTTTTTCTTACCACTCTGCCTTGATCGCTCACCACAACACCGTATCTACTATATCACGACAGAAATGATAGTATGAGTACATTCAGGAACGAAGACACAATTCTGTGACACGGGTGGCATGTAGAAGATGCCACATGGGACGGATTATCGGCTTATCATGTTTGGAGCGTTGATGTTATGGCTTGACTTGAACGCAGCTACGGTTTTAGCTGATTGTGATATGGTAGCAGGTTTGTAGCAGCAGTAAGCTAAACAACTGCGGTGTGGTGTAGCCTGATCTTGCAGCAACAACAGCGTTGTGGTGGTGCCAGCAGGAGCCGTGCATAATGAGGTCCTACCGGGAATTGAACCCGGATCGCTGGATTCAGAGTCCAGAGTGCTAACCATTACACCATAAGACCAGCATTACGTCATCCCATCCCAAAATCAATCTTAAACGCTTTTCAAAACATCAAACGCTATCGGCAGGTCTCACATCGTCAAATTGCTACACCAAAACCCCATGCTTTGAGCCGCGCACAAAAACGAGCTCCTACCGGGATTTGAACCCGGATCGCTGGATTCAGAGTCCAGAGTGCTAACCATTACACCATAAGACCAGCATTACGTCATCCCATCCCAAAATCAATCTTAAACGCTTTTCAAAACATAAACGCTAGGCAGGTCTCACATCGTCAAATTGCTACACCAAAACCCCATGCTTTGAGCCGCGCACAAAAACGAGCTCCTACCGGGATTTGAACCCGGATCGCTGGATTCAAAGTCCAGAGTGCTAACCATTACACCATAAGAGCAACCAGACCAACAATCCATCGCGCCACCGTCCACAAAATCGTCAACACTCATCCAGTCGTTCAGTTCACGCTATCATATCCTCGAAATGACGGCACAGCATACCCTTCTTCTGTGTGGAGGCTCTATGGACTGACTGACATTATCGTTGGACATATGACTCTAGTTTTTCTTACCACTCTGCCTTGATCGCTCACCACAACACCGTATCTACTATATCACGACAGAAATGATAGTATGAGTACATTCAGGAACGAAGACACAATTCTGTGACACGGGTGGCATGTAGAAGATGCCACATGGGACGGATTATCGGCTTATCATGTTTGGAGCGTTGATGTTATGGCTTGACTTGAACGCAGCTACGGTTTTAGCTGATTGTGATATGGTAGCAGGTTTGTAGCAGCAGTAAGCTAAACAACTGCGGTGTGGTGTAGCCTGATCTTGCAGCAACAACAGCGTTGTGGTGGTGCCAGCAGGAGCCGTGCATAATGAGGTCCTACCGGGAATTGAACCCGGATCGCTGGATTCAGAGTCCAGAGTGCTAACCATTACACCATAAGACCAGCATTACGTCATCCCATCCCAAAATCAATCTTAAACCTTTTCAAAACATCAAACGCTATCGGCGTCTCACATCGTCAAATGCTAACCAAAACCCCATGCTTTGAGCCCGCACAAAAACGACTCCTACCATTTGAACCCGGATCGCTGGATTCAGAGTCCAGAGTGCTAACCATTACACCATAAGACCAGCATTACGTCATCCCATCCCAAAATCAATCTTAAACGCTTTTCAAAACATCAAACGCTATCGGCAGGTCTCACATCGTCAAATTGCTACACCAAAACCCCATGCTTTGAGCCGCGCACAAAAACGAGCTCCTACCGGGATTTGAACCCGGATCGCTGGATTCAAAGTCCAGAGTGCTAACCATTACACCATAAGAGCAACCAGACCAACAATCCATCGACCGTCCACAAAATCGTCAACACTCATCCAGTCGTTCAGTTCACGCTATCATATCCTCGAAATGACGGCACAGCATACCCTTCTTCTGTGTGGAGGCTCTATGGACTGACTGACATTATCGTTGGACATATGACTCTAGTTTTTCTTACCACTCTGCCTTGATCGCTCACCACAACACCGTATCTACTATATCACGACAGAAATGATAGTATGAGTACATTCAGGAACGAAGACACAATTCTGTGACACGGGTGGCATGTAGAAGATGCCACATGGGACGGATTATCGGCTTATCATGTTTGGAGCGTTGATGTTATGGCTTGACTTGAACGCAGCTACGGTTTTAGCTGATTGTGATATGGTAGCAGGTTTGTAGCAGCAGTAAGCTAAACAACTGCGGTGTGGTGTAGCCTGATCTTGCAGCAACAACAGCGTTGTGGTGGTGCCAGCAGGAGCCGTGCATAATGAGGTCCTACCGGGAATTGAACCCGGATCGCTGGATTCAGAGTCCAGAGTGCTAACCATTACACCATAAGACCAGCATTACGTCATCCCATCCCAAAATCAATCTTAAACGCTTTTCAAAACATCAAACGCTATCGGCAGGTCTCACATCGTCAAATTGCTACACCAAAACCCCATGCTTTGAGCCGCGCACAAAAACGAGCTCCTACCGGGATTTGAACCCGGATCGCTGGATTCAGAGTCCAGAGTGCTAACCATTACAATAAGACCAGCATTACGTCATCCCATCCCAAAATCAATCTTAAACGCTTTTCAAAACATCAAACGCTATCGGCAGGTCTCACATCGTCAAATTGCTACACCAAAACCCCATGCTTTGAGCCGCGCACAAAAAACGAGCTCCTACCGGGATTTGAACCCGGATCGCTGGATTCAAAGTCCAGAGTGCTAACCATTACACCATAAGAGCAACCAGACCAACAATCCATCGACCGTCCACAAAATCGTCAACACTCATCCAGTCGTTCAGTTCACGCTATCATATCCTCGAAATGACGGCACAGCATACCCTTCTTCTGTGTGGAGGCTCTATGGACTGACTGACATTATCGTTGGACATATGACTCTAGTTTTTCTTACCACTCTGCCTTGATCGCTCACCACAACACCGTATCTACTATATCACGACAGAAATGATAGTATGAGTACATTCAGGAACGAAGACACAATTCTGTGACACGGGTGGCATGTAGAAGATGCCACATGGGACGGATTATCGGCTTATCATGTTTGGAGCGTTGATGTTATGGCTTGACTTGAACGCAGCTACGGTTTTAGCTGATTGTGATATGGTAGCAGGTTTGTAGCAGCAGTAAGCTAAACAACTGCGGTGTGGTGTAGCCTGATCTTGCAGCAACAACAGCGTTGTGGTGGTGCCAGCAGGAGCCGTGCATAATGAGGTCCTACCGGGAATTGAACCCGGATCGCTGGATTCAGAGTCCAGAGTGCTAACCATTACACCATAAGACCAGCATTACGTCATCCCATCCCAAAAATCAATCTTAAACGCTTTTCAAAACATCAAACGCTATCGGCAGGTCTCACATCGTCAAATTGCTACACCAAAACCCCCATGCTTTGAGCCGCGCACAAAAACGAGCTCCTACCGGGATTTGAACCCGGATCGCTGGATTCAGAGTCCAGAGTGCTAACCATTACACCATAAGACCAGCATTACGTCATCCCATCCCAAAATCAATCTTAAACGCTTTTCAAAACATCAAACGCTATCGGCAGGTCTCACATCGTCAAATTGCTACACCAAAACCCCATGCTTTGAGCCGCGCACAAAAACGAGCTCCTACCGGGATTTGAACCCGGATCGCTGGATTCAAAGTCCAGAGTGCTAACCATTACACCATAAGAGCAACCAGACCAACAATCCATCGCACCGTCCACAAAATCGTCAACACTCATCCAGTCGTTCAGTTCACGCTATCATATCCTCGAAATGACGGCACAGCATACCCTTCTTCTGTGTGGAGGCTCTATGGACTGACTGACATTATCGTTGGACATATGACTCTAGTTTTTCTTACCACTCTGCCTTGATCGCTCACCACAACACCGTATCTACTATATCACGACAGAAATGATAGTATGAGTACATTCAGGAACGAAGACACAATTCTGTGACACGGGTGGCATGTAGAAGATGCCACATGGGACGGATTATCGGCTTATCATGTTTGGAGCGTTGATGTTATGGCTTGACTTGAACGCAGCTACGGTTTTAGCTGATTGTGATATGGTAGCAGGTTTGTAGCAGCAGTAAGCTAAACAACTGCGGTGTGGTGTAGCCTGATCTTGCAGCAACAACAGCGTTGTGGTGGTGCCAGCAGGAGCCGTGCATAATGAGGTCCTACCGGGAATTGAACCCGGATCGCTGGATTCAGAGTCCAGAGTGCTAACCATTACACCATAAGACCAGCATTACGTCATCCCATCCCAAAATCAATCTTAAACGCTTTTCAAAACATCAAACGCTATCGGCAGGTCTCACATCGTCAAATTGCTACACCAAAACCCCATGCTTTGAGCCGCGCACAAAAACGAGCTCCTACCGGGATTTGAACCCGGATCGCTGGATTCAAAGTCCAGAGTGCTAACCATTACACCATAAGAGCAACCAGACCAACAATCCATCGACCGTCCACAAAATCGTCAACACTCATCCAGTCGTTCAGTTCACGCTATCATATCCTCGAAATGACGGCACAGCATACCCTTCTTCTGTGTGGAGGCTCTATGGACTGACTGACATTATCGTTGGACATATGACTCTAGTTTTTCTTACCACTCTGCCTTGATCGCTCACCACAACACCGTATCTACTATATCACGACAGAAATGATAGTATGAGTACATTCAGGAACGAAGACACAATTCTGTGACACGGGTGGCATGTAGAAGATGCCACATGGGACGGATTATCGGCTTATCATGTTTGGAGCGTTGATGTTATGGCTTGACTTGAACGCAGCTACGGTTTTAGCTGATTGTGATATGGTAGCAGGTTTGTAGCAGCAGTAAGCTAAACAACTGCGGTGTGGTGTAGCCTGATCTTGCAGCAACAACAGCGTTGTGGTGGTGCCAGCAGGAGCCGTGCATAATGAGGTCCTACCGGGAATTGAACCCGGATCGCTGGATTCAGAGTCCAGAGTGCTAACCATTACACCATAAGACCAGCATTACGTCATCCCATCCCAAAATCAATCTTAAACGCTTTTCAAAACATTAAACGCTATCGGCAGTCTCACATCGTCAAATTGCTACACCAAAACCCCATGCTTTGAGCCGCGCACAAAAACGAGTCCTACCGGGTTTGAACCCGGATCGCTGGTTCAAAGTCCAGAGTGCTAACCATTAACCATAAGACCAGCATTACGTCATCCCATCCCAAAATCAATCTTAAACGCTTTTCAAAACATCAAACGCTATCGGCAGGTCTCACATCGTCAAATTGCTACACCAAAACCCCATGCTTTGAGCCGCGCACAAAAACGAGCTCCTACCGGGATTTGAACCCGGATCGCTGGATTCAAAGTCCAGAGTGCTAACCATTACACCATAAGAGCAACCAGACCAACAATCCATCGCCGTCCACCGTCCACAAAATCGTCAACACTCATCCAGTCGTTCAGTTCACGCTATCATATCCTCGAAATGACGGCACAGCATACCCTTCTTCTGTGTGGAGGCTCTATGGACTGACTGACATTATCGTTGGACATATGACTCTAGTTTTTCTTACCACTCTGCCTTGATCGCTCACCACAACACCGTATCTACTATATCACGACAGAAATGATAGTATGAGTACATTCAGGAACGAAGACACAATTCTGTGACACGGGTGGCATGTAGAAGATGCCACATGGGACGGATTATCGGCTTATCATGTTTGGAGCGTTGATGTTATGGCTTGACTTGAACGCAGCTACGGTTTTAGCTGATTGTGATATGGTAGCAGGTTTGTAGCAGCAGTAAGCTAAACAACTGCGGTGTGGTGTAGCCTGATCTTGCAGCAACAACAGCGTTGTGGTGGTGCCAGCAGGAGCCGTGCATAATGAGGTCCTACCGGGAATTGAACCCGGATCGCTGGATTCAGAGTCCAGAGTGCTAACCATTACACCATAAGACCAGCATTACGTCATCCCATCCCAAAATCAATCTTAAACGCTTTTCAAAACATCAAACGCTATCGGCAGGTCTCACATCGTCAAATTGCTACACCAAAACCCCATGCTTTGAGCCGCGCACAAAAACGAGCTCCTACCGGGATTTGAACCCGGATCGCTGGATTCAAAGTCCAGAGTGCTAACCATTACACCATAAGAGCAACCAGACCAACAATCCATCGACCGTCCACCGTCCACAACATCGTCAACACTCATCCAGTCATTCAGTTCACGCTATCATATCCTCGAAATGACGGCACAGCATACCCTTCTTCTGTGTGGAGGCTCTATGGACTGACTGACATTATCGTTGGACATATGACTCTAGTTTTTCTTACCACTCTGCCTTGATCGCTCACCACAACACCGTATCTACTATATCACGACAGAAATGATAGTATGAGTACATTCAGGAACGAAGACACAATTCTGTGACACGGTTGGCATGTAGAAGATGCCACATGGGACGGATTATCGGCTTATCATGTTTGGAGCGTTGATGTTATGGCTTGACTTGAACGCAGCTACGGTTTTAGCTGATTGTGATATGGTAGCAGGTTTGTAGCAGCAGTAAGCTAAACAACTGCGGTGTGGTGTAGCCTGATCTTGCAGCAACAACAGCGTTGTGGTGGTGCCAGCAGGAGCCGTGCATAATGAGGTCCTACCGGGAATTGAACCCGGATCGCTGGATTCAGAGTCCAGAGTGCTAACCATTACACCATAAGACCAGCATTACGTCATCCCATCCCAAAATCAATCTTAAACGCTTTTCAAAACATCAAACGCTATCGGCAGGTCTCACATCGTCAAATTGCTACACCAAAACCCCATGCTTTGAGCCGCGCACAAAAACGAGCTCCTACCGGGATTTGAACCCGGATCGCTGGATTCAAAGTCCAGAGTGCTAACCATTACACCATAAGAGCAACCAGACCAACAATCCATCGACCGTCCACACCACAACATCGTCAACACTCATCCAGCCATTCAGTTCACGCTATCATATCCTCGAAATGACGGCACAGCATACCCTTCTTCTGTGTGGAGGCTCTATGGACTGACTGACATTATCGTTGGACATATGACTCTAGTTTTTCTTACCACTCTGCCTTGATCGCTCACCACAACACCGTATCTACTATATCACGACAGAAATGATAGTATGAGTACATTCAGGAACGAAGACACAATTCTGTGACACGGGTGGCATGTAGAAGATGCCACATGGGACGGATTATCGGCTTATCATGTTTGGAGCGTTGATGTTATGGCTTGACTTGAACGCAGCTACGGTTTTAGCTGATTGTGATATGGTAGCAGGTTTGTAGCAGCAGTAAGCTAAACAACTGCGGTGTGGTGTAGCCTGATCTTGCAGCAACAACAGCGTTGTGGTGGTGCCAGCAGGAGCCGTGCATAATGAGGTCCTACCGGGAATTGAACCCGGATCGCTGGATTCAGAGTCCAGAGTGCTAACCATTACACCATAAGACCAGCATTACGTCATCCCATCCCAAAATCAATCTTAAACGCTTTTCAAAACATCAAACGCTATCGGCAGGTCTCACATCGTCAAATTGCTACACCAAAACCCCATGCTTTGAGCCGCGCACAAAAACGAGCTCCTACCGGGATTTGAACCCGGATCGCTGGATTCAAAGTCCAGAGTGCTAACCATTACACCATAAGAGCAACCAGACCAACAATCCATCGACCGTCCACCAGTCCACAACATCGTCAACACTCATCCAGCCATTCAGTTCACGCTATCATATCCTCGAAATGACGGCACAGCATACCCTTCTTCTGTGTGGAGGCTCTATGGACTGACTGACATTATCGTTGGACATATGACTCTAGTTTTTCTTACCACTCTGCCTTGATCGCTCACCACAACACCGTATCTACTATATCACGACAGAAATGATAGTATGAGTACATTCAGGAACGAAGACACAATTCTGTGACACGGGTGGCATGTAGAAGATGCCACATGGGACGGATTATCGGCTTATCATGTTTGGAGCGTTGATGTTATGGCTTGACTTGAACGCAGCTACGGTTTTAGCTGATTGTGATATGGTAGCAGGTTTGTAGCAGCAGTAAGCTAAACAACTGCGGTGTGGTGTAGCCTGATCTTGCAGCAACAACAGCGTTGTGGTGGTGCCAGCAGGAGCCGTGCATAATGAGGTCCTACCGGGAATTGAACCCGGATCGCTGGATTCAGAGTCCAGAGTGCTAACCATTACACCATAAGACCAGCATTACGTCATCCCATCCCAAAATCAATCTTAAACGCTTTTCAAAACATCAAACGCTATCGGCAGGTCTCACATCGTCAAATTGCTACACCAAAACCCCATGCTTTGAGCCGCGCACAAAAACGAGCTCCTACCGGGATTTGAACCCGGATCGCTGGATTCAAAGTCCAGAGTGCTAACCATTACACCATAAGAGCAACCAGACCAACAATCCATCGCCCACCGTCCACAACCATCGTCAACACTCATCCAGCCATTCAGTTCACGCTATCATATCCTCGAAATGACGGCACAGCATACCCTTCTTCTGTGTGGAGGCTCTATGGACTGACTGACATTATCGTTGGACATATGACTCTAGTTTTTCTTACCACTCTGCCTTGATCGCTCACCACAACACCGTATCTACTATATCACGACAGAAATGATAGTATGAGTACATTCAGGAACGAAGACACAATTCTGTGACACGGTTGGCATGTAGAAGATGCCACATGGGACGGATTATCGGCTTATCATGTTTGGAGCGTTGATGTTATGGCTTGACTTGAACGCAGCTACGGTTTTAGCTGATTGTGATATGGTAGCAGGTTTGTAGCAGCAGTAAGCTAAACAACTGCGGTGTGGTGTAGCCTGATCTTGCAGCAACAACAGCGTTGTGGTGGTGCCAGCAGGAGCCGTGCATAATGAGGTCCTACCGGGAATTGAACCCGGATCGCTGGATTCAGAGTCCAGAGTGCTAACCATTACACCATAAGACCAGCATTACGTCATCCCATCCCAAAATCAATCTTAAACGCTTTTCAAAACATCAAACGCTATCGGCAGGTCTCACATCGTCAAATTGCTACACCAAAACCCCATGCTTTGAGCCGCGCACAAAAACGAGCTCCTACCGGGATTTGAACCCGGATCGCTGGATTCAAAGTCCAGAGTGCTAACCATTACACCATAAGAGCAACCAGACCAACAATCCATCGACCGTCCACCAGTCCACAACATCGTCAACACTCATCCAGCCATTCAGTTCACGCTATCATATCCTCGAAATGACGGCACAGCATACCCTTCTTCTGTGTGGAGGCTCTATGGACTGACTGACATTATCGTTGGACATATGACTCTAGTTTTTCTCACCACTCTGCCTTGATCGCTCACCACAACACCGTATCTACTATATCACGACAGAAATGATAGTATGAGTACATTCAGGAACGAAGACACAATTCTGTGACACGGGTGGCATGTAGAAGATGCCACATGGGACGGATTATCGGCTTATCATGTTTGGAGCGTTGATGTTATGGCTTGACTTGAACGCAGCTACGGTTTTAGCTGATTGTGATATGGTAGCAGGTTTGTAGCAGCAGTAAGCTAAACAACTGCGGTGTGGTGTAGCCTGATCTTGCAGCAACAACAGCGTTGTGGTGGTGCCAGCAGGAGCCGTGCATAATGAGGTCCTACCGGGAATTGAACCCGGATCGCTGGATTCAGAGTCCAGAGTGCTAACCATTACACCATAAGACCAGCATTACGTCATCCCATCCCAAAATCAATCTTAAACGCTTTTCAAAACATCAAACGCTATCGGCAGGTCTCACATCGTCAAATTGCTACACCAAAACCCCATGCTTTGAGCCGCGCACAAAAACGAGCTCCTACCGGGATTTGAACCCGGATCGCTGGATTCAAAGTCCAGAGTGCTAACCATTACACCATAAGAGCAACCAGACCAACAATCCATCGACCGTCCACCGTCCACAACATCGTCAACACTCATCCAGCCGTTCAGTTCACGCTATCATATCCTCGAAATGACGGCACAGCATACCCTTCTTTTGTGTGGTACTAAGAAGGCGCTGAATGCGCGCAGTGGATCACATTTTCTTTAGGACCTATTGAATCTTAATTTTTTGTTGAATATAAGAGGTGAACCGTTTTGTCTGAATCTTGGAAGGCTCATCATGTCATTAACACAACATAAATAAGTCCACAGACAAATGTTGCTCGATGTCTTAGAGTCATTGTCCTTCATATCGAAACAAATTGACTTCACCGACGCAATTAATAAGCGTGTCTTCTCCTATGTAGGGTTACTCTTGAGCTTCAATTTTTTTTAATATGCTACCCTTCAGCAAACTTAGGAGCTCTTGATGCTAGGGAGATGTTGTATCCAGAAAACCTCCTACAAGGTCACCTCCGGATAGAGGTGTACGTCATGTGATTGACTTGGTTTCAGGAACCAAATATTGTGTGACGCGACAGCGGCCGCTGCCACGAGAACAATGTGACGTCATTGACGAGCTCTTTCGTGCGAAGCACGCGGCTGGCATGGTGCGTGAGAGTAAGTCTCCTTACTCTACGCCCACGTTTTGTGTGAAAAGCCTAATGGGAAGTGGCGAACAGTGCATGCTTTCAATAAGCTGAATGCAGCCACTATCCCGGCTCAAACACCAATTCCTCGCAAGGATGTTCTTCAGAACAATATGTTGGGACGTACGATGTACAGTGCCCTCGACTTAGTCGATGGTTATTACCAATTGCTCATGCGAGCTAGTGATTCACCTGACAGCGGTCAGCACTCCGAGCGGTATGCTCTGGGAGGTTAGTAATGCCCCAAGGGCTATCTAACGCACCTGCAACGCTCAATCGTCTAGTGACGCAGCTGTTTTTGCCTTATAGGGCGTATGCACAAACATACTTTGACGATATATTCGTTCATAGTCGAGCCGAAAAATGGCAAGACTGATGTGGAGGATCACATTAAACACGTGCGAGCTGTGCTCATTGCATGAGGATGCATATCACAATATTGACAAATGCATCTTCGGTGCGGAAGAGATTCTCTTTTTGGGATGCTTCATTGGGAAGCGAGGAATCCGGGTAGACCCTGTTAAGTTCAAAGCCATAGTGGATTGGCCGGTTCCGAGGAACCAAAAAGACCTACGCAAGTGGTTGAATTTGGTAAATTACTTGCATAAGTATAGCCACAACTATGCAGAAGTGGCTCGGTCATTGTCAAATCGCCTTAAAAGGATGTGGAATGGTGTTGGAACACCG